CGCAGCGCCGGAGATAAGGCAATCCTAATGCTTGCTTGCATGCTTGCTTGCTTGCATCCTTGCTTGCATGCATGCTTCCTTGCTGCTTGCTTGCTGCTTGCTTGCATGCTTGCTGCTTGATTGCATGCTTGCTGTTTGATTGCATGCTTGTTTGCATGCTTGCTTGTCTATTTATATTAATTGTTAACTTATATTTTATATGTATAACATTTTTATATTTCATATTTTGTTAACATTATGGTATTTTGTATATTATGAATGGAAATATTTATGGCATTAGTTTAGATGCCAAAAAATGTTATGCCTAGAAATCGTTATTAAAAAAACAAGTATACAGAAAAAATATATACCAAAATATTATTATAATAAAAGTGGTTATGGCAAAAAAATATATGCCTTATGATTTATTCTGTATGAGCGTTATGCGAAATGATGAGTATGCCAAAAAACTTTATGCACTCTTAAATTATGACAATATTTTTTATGCAACCGAATATGGACCCAAACGAAATCAGCACTAAACTAACACTACTTTTTATACTTGTAATAAATCATTAAAAATGTGACGCGACCCGCGACGCATCGACAGCCCTAGCACCGAGCGCGGAGATTTGACAACCCTACGTCCGCACGGCCGCACGCCTCTAGAGCCGTGAATGGGACCGAGCTTATACAAGGTGGCCCAGAAGAAAGCTCACTTTTGAAAATTCAAGGTTACGAAAACTGTACATTTTTGTAGAACTTTAACTATTGCAATTTAAAGGAAATTTTGTGCAATTTATTTTAAAACTAGCGGCCGCCTGCGATTTCGTACGCGTGGATCCCATTTTACCCCCTTCATCTATCTTACGCGGTTTAGATTTTTTCATACAAATGTTTTTTCCCGCTAACTTCCGTTTCCGTGAGAATTTTGCAATATCCTGTTGTAACTAAGCTTTAAGTCTACTAAGGTACCTGCATGCCAAATTTCAAGCCAGTCTAACTTAAGTGGTTTAGATTTTTCATACAAAAGGATTTTCCAGCTAATTCCCGTTCCCGTGGGAATTCCTAAGTATACTATAACCTGCCCAGGAGTATGAAGAATAATTGTACCAAGTTTCGTTAAAATCCGTCGAGAAGTTTTTGTTTCTATGGAACATACAGACAGACAGACAAACAAAAATTTTACTGATTGCAAATTTTGGCATCAGTATCGAATCGATCACTAATCACCCCCTGATAGTTATTTAAATATATTTCATGTACAGAATTGACCTCTCTACACATTTATTATAAGTATAGATTTACTTGCTTTTATAAATTTTATCGTACATGTGATTTCCTTGACGTTTACAACATTCGGTCAACGTACATCAAAATTTTGGAAAACTTTCTTTAGAGTTACCTCGAAATGGATTCAGGATGGATGAATGCTGCAGAGTTTTTTGATTATTAGAGTATACTCTACTCATAAGGTATCCTCACAAAAAGAAGTCTGCTGGAATGAGTTTAGCGCTTCTTAGAGGCAGTGTGATTTCACCCCTGCTTAATTAGATTGTTGCATTGAAAGGATGATTAATTTTTGAGAGCGCTATACTGGTAGGCTGAAAAGCTTTTCGATTTCAACGCTGCAAGATTCGCAAGGCTATGACCGGACGATATTTTTAAAATTTTTTTTTATAGATTGTTTTTTTCTTCCAATTACTTATTGTAAAGAAAACTTAATAACACTGGTCAACAAAATTTTGTAACAAGAAAGGTGCTTGCTAATTTTAAATTACCTACCTACCCTCAATTTATTCCCATATTTATTTTGATTCCATCAGGTCTAGTTTTCGTGTTACACCTACTACCACAAAATTAAAAATTAACCGTTTTTGTTTCACTTTCGCATTCAGAGAAATTGTTTATTTGAAGAGCGTAGTGTTTTGTTCTGTTTTTAGAGTTAAGTGATTCTTAAATAATGTCAAGAAAGTGCAAAAATGATCCTTACAAGTTGTTTTTTAATTTGTGGTGACATTACTTTCAAAACTCAGCGAAGGAATTTGACACCATTAGTAACTAAGTTACATAAACAGTTTTTTGGCTTTTCCATCGGACAACAAGACAAAGTGAGGGTTCCATACATCTGTTGTGTTACATGTGTGGGTCTTTTCACTGGGTGGGCGAAAAGATCTCGATCTATGCCTTTTGCAATCCCTATGATTTGGGCGGAACCAACGAATCACTCATCTGATTGTCATTTTTGTCTTACTGATACAAAAAAGGTATTACAATTAAACCAAAAAGTAAAATTAAGTATCCTGACCTGCCTTTAGCTAAAAGACCGATCCCTCATAGTGAAGATCTATCGGTAGTCCGCTACCAGAACCACCTCAAACTAGCGATCTGGCCGTTACGCCAAAAATCGAAAAGACACATTGGATCCTGACTTTGAGGGCATATTTGTTGGCCCTCAAATCAGGGAAATTGATAAAAGCTAATATTAATTTAAAAAAGCTTAGTAATTTAGAAAAATCAGCTTGGAAATCTTTCATGAAAGTAACTTCCAATTTTCTAGGAAATCACCGATCAAGTGACCATAAATGTATTATTGCGGAGCTTTTATCTACTTATAAGGCTTTGGCCTGTAATATGTCATTGAAAATACATTTTCTTCATTCATATTTAGACTTCTTCCCTGAAAATTTGGGCGCCATCAGCGATGAACACGGTGAAAGATTCTATCAAGACTTCTACCATAGAAAAACGATATCAAAGCAAGTGGAGCCCACGAATGTTAGCGGATTACTGTTGGACATTAAAACGAGACATTTCTGAAGCAAAATACAGACGAAAATCATAAAAGGAAATTCATATTAAAGTTGCAATAAATCGAAATAACTTCTTTTTGTTGATAAAAATTCAAAATTTCTAAAATGTTATAAAACGGTATCACAAAAAAACTATTCGTATTTAAAACATTTAAATTGTATTTCTAGTATCCTTATCCTTGTCCTAATCATAACCAGACAAAAGTTTTCATGTTACATGCAAAAGTTGTTTTTTTGTTGACTAGTGTAACTTTTAAACTAAGAGGTATATCCTGATAAAATAAAAACAGTAATAATGCTTAATAACATAGGATACTAAAAAAATACATAAAATACTCAGAAAATGCCAATGAATAATAAAAAATGATCCTTTTTGAAAAACAGCTACTTTTAAAGTTTTTTTTTTGTTATTTGATAAATTTCTCCAAAAAAATGCCATATAACAGGTAGTTTTTATTACTTTGTATTATACCTTCGTAAAACAAAAAATCGCAAGTCTCTATTCCTAATATCACAACATTTGCTAAATTGATCTATTTGTTCTCGAAATCTTTGATCGTTGGAAATCTAATGTTTTCAACATCACGAAACTTCTCCATTCGGATGACAATGCAATATTGTGATGATAAGGAGCTGATTTGATGATAGAGCTGGAATGCCAGTGGCCCCAAAGGAACTCCGGGATTAAACGATTCCATCGAGTTTAGGCTCGTTTGATTTGTATTTATTTATTTATATAAATATAAGTAAGTAATATTATGTACTACTTCTACTTTAAAAATCACGAGTAGGTACCTACTTCAATTCTCTAACTATAGGGCAGATATGTACCATCCTAGACTGCATCCCACTTAACATCAGGTGCGATTGTGGTCAAATACCTTGCTTGTTATGCATAAAAAAAAAAACTAAGGTAAACAGGGTCTGATGATGGAGCTGGAATGTGGCCATCTTCGAATTATTGCGCGCTACATAACGGAAAAACGCTGCTACTATGCCATAGTAAATTCTGCATCATAAAACAGGCTACAGGGTGATTTTGTTATCAGTATCCAAATTTTCTCAATCAGTAAATCAAACTCAAGAATCAGTAACTTAATCGATTTACGTAAAAAAGCATCATAGTTTTTTCATATTTGATTATTTTTATCCGCTGCGCGCTGTTTCAAAATTGACTCACGTGGCTAATTTGCTTCGTTCATAGAAAAATACGACGTACACACATTTTACTGTAAAGCTTAATAGACACAATGGTACGCGAAAATAAGCCTTAACCTTTAAACATTAAGATGGGTGTCCATATCTTATTATTTTCAATAATTTTTCACAATGTACTGTCCACCTTCAGTCGCAACAACAAGGTCTAGTGAGTAAAGTCTATTAAATTTTTATTATTTTATTGTTTTTTTTTTTAATTTTTTTAATCCGAATTGAGTGATTTTTTTTTGTTCGATGTCATAGTTTGACCTATAAGTTTTCATTTTATATGCATGAATTTTAGTAACAAATTCAACATTTTTGTGCTCTTTTTTGGCGTTGGTTTTAAGAGTAGGCGCACACCGTTGATTTTTCGTCGGTCGATAGTTGAGTCGGGCTGTTGATCAGTATGGGCTGGGCATGTATGGGAGTGCGCACACTAATACTTACTATTTTATAATAATTAAGCTTTTAATTTTTGAAGTATGTTTGTTTAAACGCTGCTTTTTTTATAGAAATTACTAAAAATACCGTTAACCCCTCGTTGTTAGCTAAATATGATAGTATGACGAGTGGGTTCACAAAAATGGTCCAGGGGTGGCGATTGAACCCGCGTTCCTCGGATCACGTGGTATTCCTACACCATCACCGTTCGGCTATCGTAGCTTCAATAGGCTATATGACAAAATTTCAATTATTTGTCCTCCAGACATAATTACAAAATATTAGACTCGTATTTTTTATTTTCTTTCATAATTAAATAATAACAGTGCTAGCTACATCGAGTCGAAATGTCGCGTGACGTCACTTGAGTAAATTTTTTTACTCAATAGTGATGTCACGCGACATTTTAACTCAATATAATACTGAAAAATATGAAAAAATACGTGTCCAATATTTTTTTATTATCTGTCTGACGGACTGAATAGAATTTCGATTTGATTACCCATTCATCATCCTTAGGGATTATTTAGTTTTCCGGTTGAAGACAAAAAAAAACTGAATACTTCTTAATGCCTTTTATTTCAAAGACGCAATTAAATCAAACTTTTACGGCGGGGGCGTCCTTATCCTCCTCCTCCTTGAAGCCCATGTAGCCGCCGGCGCCGAAGCCGCCGCCGGCGTACCCGCCGCCGTAAGCGTTCTGTCCGCCGGCGTAGTTGTTGAAGCCGCCCATGCTGCCGCCACTTGAGCCGAACTGCGAGCCGCCGCCGACGTCGTGGCCGGAGGACTCGTGGCCTTGCTGGATCTGCAAGAGAGACGTATGAAATAAGCGTGATCGTGGTGTACATGTCTACCATTCTGTTCAGACCAGTCTTGGACGCTATTTTCATTCATCATTTGATCTGATCTGATCCACCTTTTATGTAATGTCATTATTCGGACATGTAAGATTTCAATTAAAGAACTAAATTAATGGCGCATCCCTTAAAGACAACCAGGAAACGCCCCTTTCACTAAACTTTATTTATTCACTAGCGGCCGCGCGCGACTTCGTACGCGTGGACCTTACGCGTGGACCTCGTTTTACCCCCGTTAGATATCATGTTGATAGATGGCGTTTCACGGCTTCCCCCACATGAATATTTATTATTTACGAACGTCAAAAGCAGTAGTGTGTCCAGTTCTGTAGATTTTAACCAATGTCGATAGATGGCGCTTTTATAGATATTTCTTACATCTTATTTATTTATTCAAAATTTAGTTTGTCACATCATATCGTCATAAATTATAGCCTATATGTTTTTCTGGGTTATAAACAATAATACTGTAAAACAGTAAATTTGTTAAAACAGTAATTACCTAACTATTTATTGTTTTAACAACGATGCGATATTTCGAGTTTAAATTAATTGCCAAGTCATAGTATATTTAACATAGAATCTAAAAAAAATATTTTCTTTTTCTGTTTCTGTTTACTCAATTTTTAAAAACGATACCTATGTATAAACTATTTGTGAAAACTATTTTGGCAAATGTGAAGTTTAATTGGTAACTCTATATGTGTTATAGAATGCTGTTTGTTTTCCTAACAATAAAATAAATAAAAAAATAAATAAATTCAACAAAATCCGTTCAGTAGTTTTTGCGTGAAACAAACTTCCAGACATCATGACATTCAGACATCCAAACTTTTGCCTTTATAATATTAGTAGGATTAAAACTCACCGAGGTGAAGCTCTTTTCGTGGTGTCCCCTATCGTGGCCGCCCATCGCGCCGCCCTGCTGGTACCCTTGCTGTCCGAAGCCGCTGTTGCCCTGTCCGAAGCCGGACTGGCCGTAGCCGCCGCCCTGCTGGAATCCGCCGCCCTGTTGGTAGCCGCTGCCCAAGCCCGCCGCGGCGCCCAAGCCCGCACCGGCGCCCAAGCCCGCACCGGCGCCCAAAGCCCCCATGGCGCCCAAGCCGACGGCCGGGCCCATAACGGCGGCAGCGCCCAAGCCGACGGCGGCGGGCACTCCGAAGGGCTTGGCCTCGATGGCCACGCAGGCCAGAGCTACGAGAATCTGGAATCAAAAACAGTTGTTATAGAAAAATCCTGTTTGTAGATCGAATACCACAATATAGCCACGATAGCCCAATGGTGAAGTGGTCGGACTGGCCGACTCGAGATCCGAGGAACGCGGGTTCGAAACCCACCGCTCGACTATTGCAGTGAGCCCACTCGTAACACAAGCTTATTTAGCTTACCACGAGGGGCTAACGGGACTATTAGTAATTTGTGCAATACAAATTGCTAATAATTATTAAAAAAACTTACTTCGGCAATAAGTTTTTTTAATAGATGACTTTGGGAAACATGAACATTGAGACAGCGATAACTCTGTTGCCTTCTGCAATGTGACTCATGTATATGTCACCGGAAAATAACAAGACTCGTAAGTTGATCAATTTTCTAGGAAGTTGATCAACTCTCGGAAAATAAGAAACGGCAGTTGAAATGTACTATTTAACGCATCGAATTTTAGCTAATTGGTCAACTTACGGTACCTAGCCGTAATTTAATAATTAACTATATTGCTACAAGTAAAATCATCCACAAATGGGCCAATCGTTGCCCAGTGTACTATTTGACGGTACACTATTATCCGTCACTTAATACACTTTTCTCTGATTGGTCGACAGACACTTAGATTATGTTGTTTTAATATTTACATTTTAGAGATAGGGATATTAAAGTTCGTCTATGCTATATAGTTAAATAAATGAAAAATGTTTAAAAATATATATTGGAGCTCAAAGTTTTATTATTGTAAGTTATATTAATAATAAGTAAGTTTGTTTATTTCTACCACTACAGACTCCATTTCACTCATCATAAATAAAATGACGCGTTATAATGAGAATTATTACCACACAAAACAACAATTGCTAATTTTTCTACTGTAAATAAAGAAAATAGATAGATTTGTTTACGTTTAAACCGGTAATGGCGGCGGCCGGGTGGCGGGGAGCGGTATAAAAGCACGTGAGTCTTTTAACCAATCAACGTGCACCTTGCCTTTGTCGGATGATTTAACGGCAAGACGCCGTAAATTAATCAACTTACTAAAATACATACGTTAAATAGTACATTTCAAATGCCGTTTATTATTTTCCGAGAGTTGATCAACTACCTAGAAAATTGATCAACTTACGAGTCTTGTTATTTTCCGGTGACATATGCATAACCTCACACTTAATTGTGGGTTTGGAATTGAAATGAGTATAATTTATTATGATACTTATTTCAATTCTAAATCTAAATCTAAATTCAATTTATTTTACATCTTGTTTCAACTAACATAGTTTTTAAGTGCAATTGTTACTAACAAACTGAGTCCTGGTTACTTGAATAAAGAATCATTTATTATTATTATTAATGTATTGATTATTCTTTTATTTTTGTTGGTCGAATTTTGCTTGGGACTTCCTTCATCATTCTTTTATCTATTGACCTTTTCTTTTTCCTCTTTTTTTAGCAAAATGACAAGCATATTTTATATCCAAAAGTTAGTAAGTAGGTATAATAAATCGCCATGATGACATCAAACAAAATCGTTGTGACATGTTGGACAGGTTAATTGTTATTACTATCGATTAGTGAGATGCGACGATAACTTTATAGATCATTAGCTCGGCCATTTTATTCTGTGTTGATTGGTTTATTATCTATTGGTTAGATTTCGTAACAGTAAAATTACTTGTCTGATATTTTGGAGTTGTTTGGATTGCGTGTAAATAGTTTCTTCTATTAGAAAACCAAAGATGAAGATACTGAGATTGATTTGAATCCGTAACTCAATTTTTTGGACGTTTAACGGGGCTATTCCCATCTTTCTTTCCCACCGCTCTGCAACTCCTGTGTAGCCAGGATCTACAGCTTGACCGCCCGTAAAAACCCAACCGGTGAAGATCAAGTTTGTCCAAAGTTTATGTATGTTTTATTATACATATCGTACTATCCGTTATCTAGTCTCTATTTACTTTCATTGTTAAAACAATTTATTTATCTGTAAGCTGAATATTGATGATTAATAGTAGTCATTCAAAACACAGACTAATATTACAGCTATTTGTCTTTCGCTTGACTTTCCAAATGAGCCAAATTGTGTCCATTTGTTCGAGTTGTGGATCGATATGGTTACTACAATAGAATCTTATTATTTATGCACGCGGTAACTACACCATAGTATGCTTGTTAGGTGAGGTAAAATAAGAACACTGTAGTTATGTTACATTAGTTGTTAATGTATAAAGGCGATTAATAAGAAAATAATCGCGGAATATCAAGAAAGTTGGCAAACATAAAACTTAACTAATTACTCTAGACTTAACAATACTACAAAAGAACAATAAAGTTTTAACAAGAACAGGGAATTGAACCGTAAATTCGTTTGAAACTAAGCGCTACGAATTAAAAAAATAGACTATTTTTAGCGGTTTGAAAATAATTCACGTCATAAAATATTTGAGAAACAATTTAGAGCTTAAAAATTCAACAAAGCTTTATAAAAGTATATTCAAACAATTTTAGAACTCAACATTATGCAGTCAACAAAGGACTTTGCAAACTAAACTAGCCTTTTTCAATGTAATCTACGAGTACATAATTAAAACAAAATGTCTCAACTCACCAAAACCTTCATGATTGTTTTCGATTCACAAACACTACTCTGAATGATTCGAACCAGTACTAACACTATCTTTTATACTAGAAATAATTAAAAATCCATTAATTAACGGAACTATTAAATTAATTCACCTGTTAACGAGATTTTGGGTAACTACAGCAGTTTTATGATGTGGTGCCGTCATCGTTAAGAAAGGTACATTAACGGAAAACCTAAACTTTATTGGAATAGCCGTGTGGTGACTGTCTACGGCCTAAGTTTATGTACACAGCCTGTAGAAGAACAGACAGGCTTTCACGGAAACATGTTTCGGTATCATGATTATAAGAAATTACACACGCTTTTGAAGTGGTCAAAGATAAAAATAAAAAAAAATAAAAAATCGTTTATTGCTTGCTTTACAAAAAAGGAATTACAAAAAAAGAACTTATATTAAAAAGGTGGAAGCAACTGGAGGTGGCTCAGCTTGTGCTGCCAAGGACTATGTCTACGTCTAAAAGACGTAGCGCACCAATCAACCCGGATCAACGTCAATATATCGTCATATCAACTCGAGGCGGTCAGTATTTCTTGTATGAAACTAGCAACGCACACTTATCCGCACCGTAACGTAACTGCCTCGCCACGCGGTTGACAGCGCGCGAAAGGCGATGTCAGCTCGCGAAAGGCGATACGGTGTTGATCCCTTTACGAGTTGATAGTTTGCAATTTCTAACCGGTCAGCGTTTATGGAAAAAGTGGTCTCCATGGTGTTTTGCAATCTGTAAGACATTACTCCACTCCTCCACTACTAAAAAACTCATAAAACTCAATTTTTATGCAAGTTGGCTTTTAAAAAGCACTTTTACACGTCCCAGTATTAACCCTACCACTGCTTCTTTACTGTTGGTATAATCTTATTAGTATTCGTACCTACAAAATTGTTGTTTAATATTTAATGCAGATCACCCCATCTCACAGTTAGGCGATGACAAAAATATGGTGTTTTTCTATGATTCTTAACAGGCGTACTGTTTATTTTCTTAACATCCAAAGGAACCAATTAATCTCGATGACTCTTTTATAATGCGAACAGCTAGGGACTGGAATTCGTTGCCTGCTGCTGTCTTTCCCGAAAACTATAATCCGGGCCTCTTCAAGGCGAGAGTGAATAAGCACTTACAGGGCAGATATGTACCATCCTAGACTGCATCCCACTTAACATCAGGTGCGATTGTGGTCAAATACCTGCCTTGTTATGCATATAAAAAAATATCTATTCCGAATTTATTTGTAAACAACCTGGCTTTTTCATCTTTACTTTGCCTTTCTCTTAAACCATTATTAATATCCATTCTAATTATCACTGGAATTTTAGCCTCGTGTCAATTTGTGTAAAATCCCTAATTAATTTAATTTATTAAGGTAATTAAACAAACGCAATGACTCGGAAAAGGGACACGGTGATTTTCCCGTCTTTTTGGGTTTTTGAAATAAATTTAAGATCTTAGATACTCAGTCATTTAGTCTTAAAAGTTTAGGAAGAAAACGAGGTTTATTTTAAGCTCTATGTAGAGGTAATTAGAAAGCTCTTCAAGGACTTGGATCAGGCGCGAAGGGGTAATGAGATCGACAGGGTTGGCAGGCTTGATGTAATTTTAATCAGAAAAATAAATCGCGATTTCGTAAAATCTTTCTCACGCCTAGATTTTCATAAATACGAGTATGTGTATTGTTGCTTCAGTTTCATCATTACTTCACATAATAAGTGAAACCATCTCCAATCATCATCAGATTTTAAAAGTCCATTGCTGAATGCTGTAAAGTATTCTATAAAAAAAAATATTATTATTATACAGCAAGCTGTTTTGAGCCATTTGCATACCCAACTCAACTAGCATCTACTTTTTAGGTAATTTCAGAGATTATCCAAAACCAGCGCTGGTAGGGCCCAAAAGATAAGGAGACATGTAAAGTTCCCCATAAGGGCTACCTTTTCTTTTTTTATTATTTACATTTGACGTTCATAAGTGCCACTTGTGGTCTAAACTGAATAAATATTTTTGATTTTGATTTTAACAAACATTTAGTTGTTTAAGGCCCGGCTTCCACCAAAGCGGAGAAATGTTTTGAATAACCATCAGATATCATTATGTCAATTTCATTCGATCCGAAAGAAATCTTTTCTTGTGTAATTACCCGACTGTGCCAGAAAGAGGGTCATGTTTTTTTTTTCATTTAGTAAAAAGCTGTAATTTTGAAATTCATAACAATTAGTTTAATTTTATTTACTAGTTGTTTTGTTGCCCTACAGTAGTACCCTTGCAGTGTCCGATTGTTAGATAAGCATATTGAAAGGGAGGTTTGAAGGGCGCCGTCGCCGACTCATTTAAAAACACAGTTTTGGGAATTGGGAGGGGTCATGAGTCATATCAGATACATAACGCGTAATAAAACAAAAACCAACCCTTTTAATTTCGACAAGTCCGTCCGTTTGCACTCTGCGTGTCTAAGGTATCTGTAATTTAACTAGAAGTTTTTCTAAACATATTTAATATATCTTGGCATGATTATAAATACTAATCACGCCTACGAAAATAAACCTTGGCAAGAAGGAAAAATAAATAAATCATCCACAGTTTACGTTAAATAAAACACGGTTTCCACCAGAACTGGGCGGAGAATATTTATTGGTTGGTTTCCTGAATAATAAAGTTATAGGTTATTCAAAACACTTCTCCGCTGTCCGCTCCAGCTTGGTGGAAGCCGGGCCTAACTCCACATTCTAAAACTTTTTTCTTTGATATGCCTAATCCTACTTAATATAAAATGCGAAAGTTTGGATGTCTTGATATCTGGATGTATGGATGTTTGTTACTCTTTCACGCGAAAACTACTGAACGGATTTTGATGAAACTTTACAGTATTATTGTTTACTAGCGGCCGCCCGCGACTTCGTACGCGTGGATCTCGTTTTACCCCCCCTTCATCTATCTTACGCGATTCAGATTTTTTCATACAATTTTTTTCCCGCTAACTCCCGTTCCCGTGGGAATTTTGCAATATCCTGTTGTAACTAAGCTTTAAGTTTACTAAGGTACCTGCATGCCAAATTTCAAGCGTCTAACTTAAGCGGTTTAGATTTTTCATACAAAAGGATTTTCCCGCTAATTCCCGTTCCCGTGGGAATTCCTAAGTATCCTATAACCTGCCCAGGATGAAGAATAATTGTACCAAGTTTCGTTAAAACCCGTCGAGTAGTTTTTGTTTCTATAAGGAACATACAGACAGACAGACAGACAGACAGACAGACAAAAATTTTACTGATTGCATTTTTGGCATCAGTATCGATCACTAATCACCCCCTGATAGTTATTTTGAAAATATATTTCATGTACAGAATTGACCTCTCTACAGATTTATTATAAGTATAGATAACCGAGAATAACATATAGGCTATAATTTATGACGATCTGTGACAAACTAAATTTCACACGGACGAAACCGCGGGCAAAAGCTAGTATGTAATATCTTTTTGTTACTTACTACGGAACTCCGTTACAATAGTACAGCTTGTGGGCTATATCTAGATCTTTCTAAGTACATTTTAATAGTATGCTATTAAAAAGTACTTAAGTAGATAGATATTCTTCTTTTGTTTCAACTTTTAAAATGAAATCCCCACTATTGACTTCTTGGAGGGAAAGTGAAGAGTCATGTTTAGCGATTTTGTTTTATTCTCTAAAATTTGTGTTTAGCCAGCTATTATTGTTCAAAAATAGTGGACCACCATTAAGTGTTTGTGAACGTGCATGAGTGTAGGCAAATGGAACAAAGCAGTGCAACATCACTTTTCAAGTTCTCTCCAGAAGTCCGCGTCAGGTTATAGTATAGAAATCTTTACTGAAACTCAAGGAAAAGGGCGGATTTTATCTCATCTATCATTATCATTAATTCATTACTTGCGTGCGCGTGGGCAGACCCCCAGCTAGGTGGACCGACGATCTGGTGAAAGTAGCTGAAAGAACCTGGATGCGGGGAGCGCAGCACCGGCCATTGTGGAAATCCTTGGGGGAGGCCTTTGTCCAGCAGTGGACGTCTTTTTAACGATCGAACGAACGAACTACATCGCTTGAATTTTTATTTTTTTAGTTTCATAATACCTACTTGACACTGGCTATGTGCAAACCGCACGAAGCCATAAGTAATAGGGATGATGACTGGGTAATGAAATCGAAATTCTATTTAGTCCGTCAGACAGATAGTAAAAAAAATTGGACACATTTTTGATTTTTTTTTCATAATCGAATAATTACAGTATTATATTGAGTTGAAATGTCGCGTGACGTCACTTTTGAGTAAAAATTCTACTAAAGCGTGACGTAACGCGCCATTTCAACTCGATGTAGCACTGTTGTTTTTTAATTACTTATTTATTTATTTAATTATAAAATAAAATAAAAAAGTAAGAAATTATATTATTATAAAATTAAATAAAATAAGAAAGAAAATAAAAAATATAAGTCTAATATTTTCTAATTTTATCTGTCTGACGGACAAATAATTGAAATTTTGTCATCTAGCCTATTGTAAAAAAAAACTAACTCGCCAGCCCTAGGATGAACTCATCTCAAATTTCTAGGGCTCAGTGACGATTTTTGCCGAGCGAATTTCCTTGGGGAAGCAAACAACGCGTGTAAGAACATTTTCAAGATAATTTAATGTTGTTATGAGGTCCGTATCAAAGGAGCCCTTACAAAAACGATGTGGATAGGTCAGTGTTTGAAACATTTTTAAATTGGAAAAAAGGTTAGATCAATATTGTAGGTACATAATTATGGCAGACTAGCTTTTGCCCGCGGCTTCACCCGCGTGAAATTTATTGTCACATATCGTCATAAATTATAGCGTATAATAATCAATATTACTGTAAAGTTTCATCAAAATCCGTTCAGTAGTTTTTGCGTGAAAGAGTAACAAACATCCAGACATCTACACAAACTTTCGCATTTAGTAGGATTGTTTTTTTCTTACCTCAGAAGGTGCCTATAGATAACATGAGTCGCAATAAATAAACGTTATTTGAACTTGGACTAGTAAATAGAGTTTTTTTTTTATTATTTAGCAG